GGGAGGTACGGCAGAGTGGTGTGGGGCGGCCCAAGGGGGTGGGAGAGGGTCCGGCCCATGCTGCGCCTGGGCTGGGACTGTTCCCGCCTGCGCAGGGTAGCAGGAAACTCTCCGCACACTCACCCGACCTGGGCTAGGACTGGGTCTGCCTGGAGAAATTAACACTGTTGAGAGACTGCAATTTTTTTTTAATCTAACAATTCACTAGAGCTAGAATTCAGTAAAAAGGATTTGGGTTCACTCCTCAGTACTTAAAAAAATAAGAAATATTTTTCAGTATAATTTTCAACAGGTTTAACTACATGAAAATCTAAAAAACAGCATCTAGTCCTCCTGTAAAATTTAACAAGCGTTACAATGGTCAACATACACATTAGATACCAGTTTAGCACTCAGAAAATGTGCTGTATCCGCAGAAGTATAAGCACTGGAATCAAAAATTTCCAGACTTTCGCTTTTGTTTTTCTTTTAAGGACTCCTGCCACACAAGTTTAGAAACGGAAGAGTCACCAAGCTACACCTTCGGATCGAACATGTGTCTTGCGTTTGCCAAAATTCCAGCTCACCTCACAGTGGGCAGAATTCTGATTTGTTCCCCACAGCTCATCTTCAGTGGAGTGAGGCCAGGCACAGACAGAGCTGAGCTCCAGCTTCCATGGTCCCTGCAGGCTCTGAATTCCTGCCCCATCCTGGCCATTGTCAGGCTGCCTCATCCTCTCCTAGGACCATGATCTTGGTGCCCATGGTCCACTCCAATGTGAGCTGCATGAGACATGGACACCTCTGCCTTTGAGAAATGGTGGTTGGAGTTTGTTTTTGTTGTGTGTGTGTGTGTGTATGTGTGATTGTGTATGCATGTATGTATGTGTTGCATATCTACTTGTGTTTATGTTTGAGCGTCTATGTTTTGACAGTGCAGTACCAAAAGCCCATGTCAAGGATACTGATTGATCCTTAATCCCGTCATTACAGGAAACAGTCTGTCATCTATTTCTCAGTCATACGAAGTGACACAGCATACAAAAAGTTGAAGGCATTCATAAGATGATGAAATGGGACACAAGCAATTACACTCTAAATTTTGGGGATATGAAACATATTCTGGAATGGCAAATCCATAAAGACGGAATTATATTTGTTCTTACTTTGGCCTAGAGAGGCGAAAGAGCAAGACTAAAACTGACAGCTAAAAAGTGTGCTTTATATGCCAATTTAGAAAAAAATCATAATTATATTGTTTTGATTTTGTACATTTTGATTGAACTGTGTTGAAAAATAGTTGGCGTTTTATTTTTAATAGGTGAGAATACTGATATCTGACATATTGAAAATGTATTGAAAATTCAACATATTTAATGATAATGTGCTAACAACATAGGTTAAACTATGTGTATAGAATTTAATCTAATTTGTTAACAAAGTATATTAAATTATATATACTGATATATTGTAAAATATATATATATATATATATATATATATATATATATATATATATATATATATATATATATATATTCTCCTGGGAAAAACATACTAAGAGACTTATGGATCCTATTATTTATTTATGTATTTATTGGCAGAACCAGGGATTGAACTCAGGCCCTTGCTCTTGTCAGGCAAGCGCTTATTCTGCTGAGCCATCTCCCTGGCCCATATTATTCCATTTAAATAATGGTACATAAATGACTCAGCAGGGATGAACAGCAAGGACAAAACAGGGAATATCTCACCAGGGCTTAGTGCACCTGCTCCTGTTTGGGACCTGGGAGGTCTGGCTCCTGTTCATCCCGATCATGCTGAGCTCTCTAATCTGTCCTCAGCACCCTCTGGAGGGAATGAGCAGCCCCTGATTATACTGAGCGCTGCCTATAGGTTCTCATCACCCAAGAATTCAGGTTTGTGTCCGTGCTGAGACCGACTGCTTCTCAGGTTGGGTTCCAAATGTTCATCTGACTTTAGCAGATTCCCTGAGACTCCTAAGGGCCTGGACCTGTGGCCCACAACAGAATCACTATGATCTCAAAGTGGTCAAGAGAGTATTGCACAGTTGAGGATGTGATCTCTGTTTAAACAAGTTTGTGTAATGAGAGACATCAGAGATAAGGCGGGACAAATAAAATTAGTTTGTCTGAGAGAAAGAACTATGTTCAAAAGAATTCTCAGGTCCTAAGAGGAAAGCAACTTTCACCTAACTCTAGATATACCCTTGGTTCTCAAGCACCACTTGCGCCTCCTGCTGGCCGAGGTCGCCTCTGTAGGGAGGTTTATGTCAGGGCTCACACTGACATCCCCTCACTGTGTCTTTTGCACAGTAATACGTGGCCGTGTCCTCGGTTTTCAGTTTTGCCATTTGCAGATACAGCGTGTTCTTGGCGTTGTCTCTAGAGATGGTGAATCGGCCCTTCACAGAGTCTGCATAGCTTGTGCTACCACCATTCCAGTTAATGTACGCAAGCCACTCCAGCCCCTTTCCTGGAGCCTGGCGGACCCAGTTCATGCTGTAGTTATTGAATGTGAATCCAGAGGCTGCACAGGAGAGTCTCAGGGACCCACCGGGCTGCACCAAGCCTCCTCCAGACTCCACCAGCTGTACTTCACACTGGACTCCTGCAAACACAGAAATATCCTCATCACTAAACTGTCACACAGGCCCCCTATCTATCCCATCCATGTCCACCTCACCCTCATCATCTCATGTTCACCACCAGTCACCTTTTAATACAGCGACAAGAAAAACCCAGCTGAGTGCGAGCTCCATGGTGAGCCTCCTGTACTCAGTCGTGATCGGGAAGTGAGGACACCTGGGCATCCAGGACTGGGCTGCTCTGCAGAGCTGCAGTCGGGGCTGGGCTGGTTTTCATCAGCAGAGGGAGGCCCTATTTGCATGGCCTCCTGCAATATAGACAGCTCTGCTGTGGAAGCCTCAGGAAGAGATGGGTCCAGAGCACAGGAGGGCCTTTGGGGATACAATTAGTGTTGCTATAACAATGAGAATAATATTTTTACTATGTGCATGAATTGTGGTAAATGCTTATTCTCATTAGTTTTCAAAGCCTTGATTTTGTATGTAAGAGATGGGTTTATTTACTTCCTAAATTATGCATCTGTGCACACACACTTACAAGATGCGTGCTTACAGATAAAAAGCACATATCCTGGGGCCGGGGAGATGGCTCAGTATGATAAGAGCTTCCCTGGCAAGGGCAAATTCCTAAGTTCAGTCCCCGGTTCTGATAAAAAAAAAATCCTGTATGTCGATGTATGTTCTTCCCACAGTACTTGGCAGCCACGTGGCCAATTCAAAGACCGAGGTATAATGCTTTGTGATGTTTCCAAACCTCTTACGCTAATGAGAAAACACGACATGATTTCCAGCCTTCTAAATATTTTCTAATAAATAAACATCCAGGATTCTTCAAGTCTATAATTTATTGTGATAAAACCAGTGCTCTTAGCTTTCTCTGGATTCCTATTTCAATACTAAATTATTTATTTTACATATAATAATTTTAATGATGAATAAATGACATATATTATGATGCAAATATAGATTTTGTTGAGCAATGGCATAGTCATTCCCATGATCATGTAACACAAAACACAGCGGGAATGGAGAATTTTGAGGTCAGATGTAGCACCCTCTCACCTTTCTATCTGAGCCCTAGGACACTGAGGTCTGGGGGCTGCCACCAGAAAGAAGAGGAGGCAGTGTTTTTGTTATCTTTTGGATCAGCTTTACAAATCCCAGAAGCACCTTAATTTTGAAGAAGAATGTGAATTTAATTAAATGTGTGATGTGATTCAATCTGAGATGTGAGTAGCTCATGAAGCATTTACATGCAGGATGCTCTCCTTTATATAGAGGTGTGAGGGAGCAAGAGGAGGACCCCATGTGTAGCCTCCCCTAGAGCGAGGTTTCTGCCTCAGCTCTCAGGGCCAAGTGCCCTCCCAGGGCTACACTGCCTTGGACTTAGGTCCTCTGACTCAAGAGCAAGACGTCTGGTAGAGAATCTGGCAAGAGACCCAGTTGAGTTTTTAGATAAAGGACAACTTTAGAGATATGTAAACTAACCCACACATTGCAGCAGTAACAGTGAGTATGAGATACTACTCACAACATGTATATATGTGCATGTGAAAATGTGTAAATGCTCAGCATACATGTATGTTACAGGGAAATATATGCAAATCAATTGCCTGATACAACCTGAAATCAATGTTCATCTTCAATTTGTTTATTCTTTTTTTCTTTTCTTTTTAAATTAATTTTATTGAGAAAGAAATAGCAATGACACAGTTTCAAAACTGATTAGGACAATTTCAATAATTAATGCATTGCATACTGCTGTCTTCATAGTGGTCATTCACAGTACAAGATGCACATATGATATCCTGCCCACACACTACTAGTACAAATCTTTCTTCTCATTGAATTAAGAGAAAGTAGATGTATATCTATATCCTATTTTGTATATACAGATACAAAATGGACCTTCATTTATATCCCATTTTTCATTTAGTTTTGTCAGAAATGGGTATTCCATTGCCATCCAAATATTGTAGGTGCATGAATTCAGCAAAATAATCCAATATACTCTAGTACTTAAAATTTAAATATTCAAAAGATTCAATGTTCATTTTACTTTTAATGATTTTACACATATATCATACATAATGATTATATTTAGTCTATGGAGTTTGTGCATGCACATATTACATCTTAATTTTTCTTTTTAGCTGTTCTTCCCCTGTCTGCTTTCTTCATGTTATGCCAAACTGTTTAACATCTTTTCAAATATAATACTGAATATAGAGAATTATGCAGGATATATGCTGGGTGCGTATTGAGCTGTTTTCCCTCTCTGAGGTTCCTTGCACCAGGCCTGGTGTCATCTTCCTCCAAGACTAGACAGGGTGCAGACAGTATTTCATGTACCTGGACATTGGCAGATGGAGAAAACCTTGTGCTGTGTAGTGACTGCCCCTCAACTCCCATGATTTAGTGGCACAGCACATGGTTAGCGCTGGGCACTTGTTTATGTACATACAGAGGCTGTCGTACAATATGGTAGATGGCACATTTATTAATCCCTGTGATTGACGTCATTTAGACCAACAAAAAGCACAAGAATGTATGGCCAATTGTCCCGTTATTCCCTGGCAATGAGAACAGAAAGTGATTCTTTCACTGAAGAAACTCTTTGGAAATTTCTAACAGAGATGAAGCTGGCCAGGAATCAAAAGAATGGGAGGCCTGCACAGAAGTGATCTTATTATGAGGTTTTCCTCCATCTGCTGAGGACGCTCCCATCAGTTTCATCTCTTCCCAGTCTCCGTAATGCACAAAGATTGGTTTTAGGCACTGCTGCTTCACACATGAAACTGGACAGAGATGCTCACCAAGTACAGATCTATAAAGGTAGAGAACCAAACCTTCACCCCCAGCTGCCCATAAAGTTGGATAGGAGTTTAACTCTCCATGTAGAACAAGGATGTCAGATTACGATGTTACCCATGAGGGATGCTGTGAGAAGCCTGGAGACTCTAGCAGTGAGGAGTAGGTGCTCTCTATTGGATACCCCTACACAGGGCTCCCTCCTCGTAGCAATACTTGTATTTAAAACATTGTGATAAGGAAATGAAAGAGGCATTGTAGGCTGTTGGAACATGAAAGGCAGGAGGTGAACATATGGAAGCAACAGATAAGCTATCTTTCTAAATTTTCAAGTATTGTAAAATGTATTCACAATAAAGAGCTAGGAAACAATAAACAATTGAGATTATTTTTAATGTGTCTGGTTCATTCATAGTCTCACTACACAGCTCAGACTCATAGTGATCCTCCAGTTTTCAGCCTCCCCAGAGCTGGGATTACAGGCATGCACCCTTGTGCCTAAATTCTGGCTGGTTCAGCCCACCATAGTGGCAGGGCTGGCATGGCATGTGGTCCAAGGGATGGAATCCTGGTCGCTGCACTTTCTCTAAGCTTCTCTAAGCAGGTGCTTTAGTCCACTGAGATATATCACAGGCCCAAAGAGGAGAATTTAAGAAAGAATAATTTTCTGGGAAGGCCAAATAGCTCAGTGGATTGAAGCACATGCAAGCAGGCACAGGGGCCAGGGGTTTGATTCTTGGGCCTGCCATGCTAGTCCTGCCCATGGGTTGTACTGAGATGGTAATGGAGACTGGGCATGGTGGCTCACACCTGTAATCCCAGCTCTTTGGAAGCTGTAAACAAGCAGATCACTATGAGTCCGATCTAGTAATGAGACCCTGAACACCCTAGAGACATTCCCTAAAATACCAAAATAAAACATAAAAATAAAAATTAAGATTCTCTGTACTCCTAAGGATTTGCTCCTAACAACCACAGCAGAATAATAAACTCAAGTATTGTGTTTTGTACAGCTGAGAATGTGTTTTCCTACGTAAACAACTTGCCTTGAGACATATCAGAGGTAAGGTAGGAAGCTATGAAATTGGAGCATTTTGGAGAAAGTATTAGGTTGAAAAGATGTCACAAATCTCAGAAGAAAACAACCTTTCACCTCCCTGTAAATCTACTCTGCTTTCTTCTGTATCCTTACTGCTCCCTGCTGGTTCCGAGCAGCCTTGCAGGGAGGTTTGTGTCCGGGCTCACCCTGACAACCCCTTACTGTGGCTCTTGCACAGAAATACACGGCTGTGTCCTCGATTTTCAGTGTCTTCATTTGCAGATACAGCGTGTTCTTGGCGTTGTCTCTGGAGATGGTGAATCGGCCCTTCACAGAGTCTGCGTAGGATGTGCTACCACCATCCTTGTTAATTTCCCCAACCCACTCCAGCCCCTTTCCTGGAGCCTGGCGGATCCAGCTCTTCCAGTAGTCACTGAAGGTGAAGCCAGAGGCTGCACAGGACAGTCTCAGGGACCCGCCAGGCTGCACCAAGCCTGCACCAGACTCCACTAGCTGCACCTCCACCTGGACACCTGCAAACACAGACATCTTGCTCAGGAAACCCTCACAAAGGCCCACTGCTTATCCCATTCATGTCCAGCCACATACTCATAATTTCTTGTCTACCACAAAATCATCTTTTAGTACAGCAACAGTGAAAACCCAGCACAGGCCAGGGTCCGTGGTCAGTGTGCTGTGCTCAGCCCTGATCACAACTGCGATCCTGGGCTGTAGGGTCAGGATTGGGCTGGTTTTCATCAGTGGAGCACAGCCCTATTTGGGTGGTCTCAGCGACATAGGCATCTACACTGTAGAAGCCTCCCCTAGAGATGGATCGAGAACATAGCAGAGTCTTCTGGGAGATATTTTGTGGTATTCCTAATAAGGAATATTGAATTTCTTACTATGTACATTAATGTCAATGAACACTAAACCTCATTAGTTTTCTCAAAATTTTGTGTGGATATAAGAAATGGTTTTAGTCATTCCCTAAGTGATTCAGATGTGCATCTAGAGTAAGAAGCACAACAGACCCTGGAGACACGACCTCACATGTGATAAGCATGTCTCATGTACTTGGGCCTATGTCCTTCTCACTGTGCTTACCTGCTCCACGAGCAATTCTGAGACAGAATTGCTAGGATCTGTGGTATTTTTTGACCTTGTCCTCCACCAAGAAAAAATGATATGAATTTTCACGATTCTAAATATCCCTTGTATAAGAAGAAATCCAGCATTAAACAAGCTTATATTTGACTTTCATATATGTAGGTATATCATCTGTATCTGTGTTTATATTCCCCATCTCAATTGACTTGTTTGTGTTTAGCAACTTGCATGATGACTAAATGAGTTACATTTTTAACACAAATATGCAATCTGTTAAGTACTGAGATAAAATTTAGCATGGTCCTGTATGGTAATGGAGAATTACACATAAATGCCTACAGCTTTCTCTAAATTCTCATCTCTGCATCTTCCTTTATATGAAATATTTATTCCTGTGGGACACAATCTCCTGTAGTTGAGACGTGATTGATTTGTTATTATGGTGATGATCTTGATATTGCATATTACAAAACATAACTGTTAAACTTCAGATTGCTTTCTACTACATACAAGGAGGTGCAATTCGTATGCTGGAATTAATACGGAGGTAAAGAAATAAATGTATAAGTAAATGTGTATGTATTCTAACTAAAAATGAACTAAAACATTCACATGTCTTGGAGCTTGACTCCTTTCCAGTGACCTGAAATAGACATATTTCAGGACCCCTCAGCGTTTCCAATGCTAACAGAGAGAGGAAAGCCTGGAGAAAAGCAGGAAGACTCTCAGTCACCAGCTTCCTTCTCTGTTCATATTTCTGGGGCTTTGCTGGTTTCTTGAGTTTCCTCAGTGTCTCCTCTGCTGGTTCAGAGCTTAAGCTACTGGTCCTGAAAATCCTCCTTTTGTCCCGAGCCCCCCTCTGCTAGTACTGAACACCTCTTCAGGTCCTGAGCACCTCAGTAGAGAGTCCCGCGTTTTGACTAATAGGGGTGTCTCATCATGATGTATCTTGCACAACGGTACACTTGTGCCCTCCACAGTTTCTGAGTCCAGCTTCAGAGAAACTTAGTCGGGAGGCATCTCAGGGAATACTGAGCTGACTCTCAGGCATGAACTCTAACCTGTGCCTCCAATAAAAATATCATGTAACATCCACTCAGTCGCCTTCCCTGAGGGGTGCTGGATTCAGCGTCTGGAATGATACACAGGCCAAATCCCATCTCTTGCAGCTGCACCTAGGAAAGAAAAATGGAGACGCAGATCTCAGTGAGTTTTGTGCTTAGATGAAACATCCTGTCACCTTCTCTCAGAGCCCCAGGGCATTCATGTCTGGGAACTGCCAGCAGAAGGAGGAGGATCCAGTATTGTTCCTTTCACATTACCTTTCAAACCCCAGAAGTACCTTAATGTGTGAGGTAGAACATGAATTTAATTACATGTGTGATGTGATTCACTCTGAGATCTGAGTGTCTGGTGATGCATTTGCATGCAGGATGCTCTCCTGCATATGAAAGTGTGAGTGAGAGAGAGGAGGTCCCTGTGTGGGGGGTGTCCCTTGGGGCAGGATACTGACTGAGCACTCAGAGAACCAAGTGCTCTCCCTGGCTCCACTGCTCTGGGCTTAGGACCTCTCACTCCAGAACAGGACTTGTGGGAGAGATGCTGGTCAGAGAGCTGTGTGAGTTCTCACATGAAGGACAACTTTATAGATATGGAAACTTACCTACATATTGCAGGAGTAACTTGGACTATCAATTATTACTATAGCATGTATATGTAATGTGCACATGTGTAAACTGATAGTATGCATTTATGCTATAGGTACTTAGATGCAAATCCATTTCCTGATGCAGCCTGAAATGAATTCTCATTCTCTGTTTGCTCATTCTTACAATTTAAGTATTCCAAAGATTCCATCTTATTTTTATTTTTATAAAGATTATACACATATACAACACACAGTGATTATACTTACTATATGGAGTTTGTACATGTACATTTTGCATCTTAATTTTGTTTTGCTGTTTCCCTGTCTACTCCCTTCCTATTCCTCCAAACTCTTGAAAATCTTTCCAAGTATAACGCTGAAAATAGGCATTATCCAAAGATTTGAAGCCAACAATTAAATGCTGTTAACATATTGAACTCAGAGTAAATTGCCTGAAATTCAAGAGTTGTCATTAATTTTATAGGCTTTTAGGCACTCACTTGTCTTAAATTTTTGTTAGTGTGTGAAATGCACTTTTTCATATCTATGCTCATGAGTTTTTAATGGAGAAAATATTTTCCCCTCATAATTTCTTCTACATTTTTCAGGATACAAGTTGGTATTTATGCTTCCGTGTTGCCATTTTTAGCCTTGTTGAAATTTAACTCAGCTCTCCACTGATGCTTCCTTTCTGCAATAAATGCAGTTATTTTAGGACGCTCTAGGGCTCTAGACTCTGCAATGAATAGAGAATAAGGACAGACTTGAGCCTTAGAGCTGAGGACACACAGCTGTTGAAAGAACCTCAACTCTGATGAGATGAGTACTGCTTGTCATTAGTGTCCCCTAATTATTCACTGTCGATGTGCAGCTCTTGCTTATTATTGTGTACTGAAGACTCTATGAGTTGTGCCACAGTCTAATGCAGAAAAGGTCTTCATGATTCATTATAACTCACCTCAATATAAGTACATTACAGAACAGACAAAGTAACCATGGATAGAATGAAGCTACCAGTTCCATTAATTAGGTCTCTGATTTTCCCCAGAGTTGATCTCTATATCTTCCTGTCCACTAGTCATGAAACTGTCTCTCAGAATTCATGTGTACCTGGTGGCAGTGAACAGATCCTACCTCCATCCGACCCTAATTATGAGACTCTCACGATTTAAACTGCACTTTCTCATCTCCAGTGCTGGGTGCATGTGGAAACACGTATGTGATATCATGACAGGGACAGAGTGTCACCCCTGGAAGTCACCATTGTGATTAGCACAATTTGTCTGCATTATACCCAGTGAAGTCCAACTAAATCCTAGTATGCTCGTTTGTGATCCCACAAAGGAACCTGCCCTCCTGCCCTAATATGTTGCTCCTGTGACCAGAACAGGGCCCTGTTGTTCAATGCAGTGCCAGCACACATTATTGGCTAATTTGTATGTAGTGTTCTCTAAAAATCATTTTTCTCCATAGCATTAAATACAGAAGGCGTTGAACTGAGCATATTTAAATCTGATTCTTGGTCATTGTTTTTTCACAAATTTTAATTTTATTAATACATATTTGAAGTGCAAAATTATTGCATTCACCATGAGGATTTGGTACATTTGAAAATTATATCTTCATTATTTGTTGTATTCAATCCCTTCACTCAACCTACAGAATAACCAGGCAACCAGGATTCAGGTAATGACAGAGCCAACTCTAGTAGGGAAAGACAGACTGAGAGGACTCAGACCATCCAGAATGAATCTTTTTTTTCCTTCTTCCACCTTGAATCTTGACAAGTGGGAGAGGTGCTGTATCCAACGCAGGGAGCAGCAGAAGCTGCCAGGCAGGTCTGGGTCCATCAGTAACTTTCCATGTGATCCCTTGTTCTGATCATTGGTGTGATCCTGAATGGTTTTTCTAGAACTACAGGACACTCATGGATCTGGCTATATAGTGGTATTAATTTTCATACTGATAAGAAAGCCAAGAATTGATCCCCAGGAACACAGATGCAATAGGCAGAGGGTGCACTTTACTGGTGTTATTTCACACTGAAATGTTGTCTCAGTTACTTTTCTTTCACTGCTGTGACAAAATACCTAATACCCCAAATTAAGGAAAAAAAGGTTGATTTAGTTCACATGGCTTGTGGATGTTTCAGTCCATACTGGCTGGATCCAAGGCAGAGTGGCACATGCAGAGGGAAACAGCATGGCAGAAGGTCTCACTCAAGCAGCATGCCTGGGCTTTGGTCCAGAGAGGTCCCACAGGTGCAAGGAAGCTGGAAGCTCTCCCACACTCTCGCCTGGCCTGGTTTGGGCTGGATCTGAAGGTCCCGAGAGTGTCGCAGAAGTTCTCTGATTACGAATTTTGATGGCCCAAGTCTTTCCATATCCTATTCAGCACATGCTACTGTCTGTAATTTTTGTTACACTCATATTAATTTCCAGAGAATGCATAAAATTGTGATTGTTTCGATAAGCAATTGAATTTCAATAGAGGTATACACATGCTATTCTTTAAAAATTGAGAAAATTTGAGGAAAAGCAAATCCATCAGGACATAAAAAGAATTGTCCCATCTTTGATGAGGAAAAAGAAAGGGAAATCTATATGCAAAATGTGGTAGCTAAAATATACAGTGTTCCTTTGACGATTTAGGAAAAATATTTATAATAACATTTTACTGATGGTTGTAAATTTTTCATTATGTACTCATCTAAAATAGACAATTCACTTGAAATTAATGAGATTGTTGGTACTTGAAATATTAAAATAAATGTGTTAAAGACTCAGCAAATACAATTAACACATGATAAAGTATTAAAAATATTAGATGTTATATACCAACGTTCACTTGAAGGAAGAAGACAAAATGAACTCTACAGAGCCCATTATCATTCCATTCTAAGGAAGAGAAGCTACTGTTTCGCAGACAAACAGCAAGGGCAGTGGAGGCAAAATAACCCCAGGGTTCTGTCCATCTGCTCCTATTTGGGACCCAAGGAGGTCGAGATCCTGGGCTTTGTTGTGGACCTCAGCAACCTGTGGAGTGTCTGAGTAGCCCTGGTTGTACTGCACATGGCATGTTGTTCCTGGTCACATATGAGAGAGTTTTTTATCTATACTCATACCTAATGCTTCTCACTATGGATCCCAGATTCCTATCAGAATTTACCAAGTTATGGAGACACCATGTACCTGTTCCGGATAACAACAGCAGAATCATTATGGAACAAGTGTGAGGTCTTGTTTTACAGAGTGGAGAATGTTCTTCTGTGTAAATAACTGTGTCTAACAAGAGGTGTAAGGGGTAAGGACAGATATATAAACTAATAGTATTTGGAAGTAGGTATTAAGTTGAAAAGTCTCAGATTCTAAGAGGAAAACAATTCTCAACTATATGGAAAATTAGTCCAGTAGTCCATAAAAGTAGTGGGCAACCCATAGGACTGGCAATATCAGAAGTTGTTGACTTGAGCCTTTTACAGCTCATCCTATTAATATGGCGTTACTTTTTGTACTTCATTTTTATACTTTTTGGCTGGACAGTTAAAAACAAGATAAAACAAGAGCTATATAACAAGAAATGTAACTTTTGTATCTGACAAGGAATACTTGCTGAATTCACACACCTACAATGTTTAAATGGCAAAGGAATACCAATCTCTAACAAAACTAAATACAAAAGGAGATACAAATGAAGGACCATGTTGAATCTGTATATTCAAAATAGGATAGATATACAGCTACTTTCTCTCAATTCAATGAGAAGAAAGATTTGTACTATAAGTGTGGACAGGATATCACGTCTACATCTTGTACCATGGAAAACCACTATGAAGATAAGAATATGCAATGTATTAATTATTGAAACTGTCCTACTAATCGGTTTGGAAACTGTCTCATTGCTATTTGTTTCTCAATAAAATTATTTTTTAAAAAATTATTCTTGGTTTTTCTGCATTCCATGAGCTCCCTGCTGGCTGTCAGAGACGATGCAGGGAGGTTTGGGTGTGGGCTCACACAGACATCTCCTCACTGAGACTCTTACACAGTAAGAGTCCTTACACGGCTGTGTCCTCGGTTTTTCACTGTCGTCATTTGCAGACGCAGCGTGTTCTTGGCATTATCTATGGAGATGGTGAATCGGCCTTTCACAGAGTCTACATAGTATGTGTTACCACCATCATACAGAATGCTTACGATCCACTCCAGCCCTTTCCCTGGAGCCTGGAGGATCCAGAAGATCCAGTAGTTACTGAAGGTGAATCCAGAGGCTGCACAGGAGAGTCTCAGGGACCCGCCAGGCTGCACCAAACCTCCTCCAGACTCCACCAGCTGCTCCTCACACTGGACACCTGCAAACACAGAGACGTCTTGCTCAGCAAACTGTCACATAAGTCCACTGTTTATCTCATTCATGTCCAGTCAGACCCTCAGTATTTATTGTTAAAAACAATCACCTCTCAAAACAGCAACAAGGAAAACCCAGTACAGCCAGAGCTCCATGATGAGCCCTAGGTGCTTGGTGGTGATCCAAAAGTGGAAAAACATGGGGATCCAAAGCTGGGCTTCTCTGCCGAGCGGCAGTCAGAGATGGGCTGAGCTGGTTTTCACAAGCAGAGAGAGGCCCTATTTGCATGTTCTCCCACTATATAGATCACTCTTTTATGGCATCTTCAGATAGAGATGGGTCCAGGGCACATAAGAATGTTCTGAAAAATATATTGTAACATTTATGATAAGTGTTATATAATTTGTTATAATATGTGCATGAAATGTGCATGAAATGTGTTGAACATTTAACCTCATTAGTTTTCTCATAGATATTAATGTACACCAAAATAGGATTTTTTTTTGCAACTGTGCACCAAATGCAAGAATCATAATGGACCTATTTGATCTGATCTCACATATGATAAGACCATCTCATTAGTTTGGTCTATATCCTTCTCACAGAATTTGCCTGCTCCATGAGCAATTCAAGAAAGAGTTAACATGGTTAAGTAATGTTCCCCAGACCTCTTACTCTGAGGAGAGTACTGCACATGCTTTTCAGCATTCTAAAGTTTCTCTAATTATGCAATCAGGATTCTTAAAGCCTATGTTTCAGTTGGCTGTGTCTGGCTTTATTACCTGTTTCTGCATTAATATTTCCATACTGAATTATTTATTTTATAGACAAAAATTCAGAGATGACAAAATGATATACATTTTAACACAAATATTCATTTGTTAAATACTGACATATGTTCTCATGGACATGTAAGACAATGATGATTTACCCATATATTCTAGAGTTTTCCAAAAACTCTTTCCTGAATGGGAAGATAGCTCAGAAGTCTAAGTATTTGCCTGGCAAGCACAAGGACCTAGTTTTATTCCCAGTAGTGAATGAAGTCCTGACCACCGAAATCGGGAATTGTGGTACTAGTCTGTAGTATCAGTGATGACGAGGCTCAGACAGGATGATCACAACAAATATAATCTGTGTAGTGAGAACCTGTATAAAATAAATGAATAAATAAAGGACTTAAAACAGTTCTTTTTCTTGTGTCTTCCTTTATTCTACACTTTCCTCAACTAAAATGCACATTTTTTTTAAATTTGATTTTTTTATGTATTTGGTACAGGATCTGCAGGGTCTCACTGCACATCTCGGACTTGCAGTACTCCTCCTGTTTTCAGCATCCCAAGATCTGGGATCACAGGTGTGCACCATCATGCCCAGTCTCAGTTGCCTTCTAAGGGCAACCTGGGGTGGGGCCAGCAAGGCGTGCTATGGATTGATCCCCAGTTCCTGTGCCTTCCTAAGCAGGTGCTTTAGTCCATTAACTTATCTTCTAGGCTCTTTGAAACACACATTTCTGCTTGAGACAATCCATTCTCAGGGTGATAAAAGTAGAAGATTAATATTTAATGATGGTGATGGTCCTGATGATGAATACTCAAAGCATTTACAACCTTAAAATTTAATCTTCCTAGGGATGGCCAAATAGTGCTTTAATCTTCCTTCTGATATATGAATAATGAGATTTTCCTTACACTCAAGTAAACATGAAGGCGATAATGAAACAGAGAATAAGTAAATATATGTGTATTATATTTAAACAAGACATAAAACACTCACCGGCCTTGGAGTTAAGCCTCTTCCAAGTAGTCTGGAAAAGATGTATTGCATGGTCTTGTCAGTTTACAAAATGCTCAGGCAGAGAGGACAACCCCAGATCCCTACAAAAAGGCCCTTACTCTCTAGCTTCACAGTATCTGCGAATCACATCCTTCAGTTTACTTTTCCACCTCTGGGTCCCCATTGCCAACTTTGCTTTTCGAGAGCTTTCCCTACTGGTTCTGAGGACTCCTCTCTTTTATCTTGAGCATTCCTTCCTCATCCTGAGCATTCCTGCACAGATTTTTGTGTTTGGGAATACATTGATATCTCCTTACAAAAATCTCTTTCCCAGTTGTGTCCTCCCTCATCACTGATCACAGACACAAGGAAAGTTATTTCTTGCATGTGTCTTAGGAAATAGTGAGTTGACTGTCAGGGATGAATTATCAGCTTTACCTCTTTTAAAATCATCCTACCCTGTGAATTCAATCCCCCTCACTAGAAGCTGATCAATTCAGGTCCCAGAGCAAGCTCAGTTGGTGCAGTAACCAAACCATGCACAGCTGAGGGCCAGGCCAGGTCCCGTCTCTTGCAGTTGCACCTAGGAAACAACATTTGGGACAGAATATATTGAGTTGTGAGCTCAGTGGCCATATCCCCACAATTTTCTGTCTAAACCCTTTGATTCTCAAGTCTGGGAGCTGCCTCTGGAAAAAGGAGGAGACAGTACTTATCTATTTTCTTTCATATTAGCTACACAAATCTCAGAATAAATCCTCACATATGAGGAAGAACCTCAATTTAAACAAATCTGTGGAGTGAGACACATACTGAATGCAGAAATAACCATTCATTTGACCTCACCACAGGCAATCAGTGGTTTACAACATAGTTATGACTCCCACGAGTTCTTTTTGTCTATGCTGTGGCCAGAAAATTCCAGTAAATCCTCATCTCATCACGTGTGATCCCACATGGTCTCCTGCCCTACTGCCTTGATGTTAGTACACCTGTGATGAGGGCAGGTTTCTGTCCCTCAGCCCAAAGCCAACACACTTTATTAACTAACTTGTAGGTTGTGATTTCCTTTTTGTTACACTGACCACAATTTTATTCATGCTTGCCTTGGGACGAGGAGTAGATCGTTCAGTAAAAACAAAAAGTGTCATAAGAGCTCAAAAGAAAAAAAAATAGAAAGGTATAATACAAGTAAAAGGAAAGCAGGATCTCGAGGACTAACTAATCAAGAGAGGGAAAGGAGAAGAGCTAGGAAACATGACAAGTCAGGCCATACCGTTATATGTAGAAGACGGACAAGACAATGATCCTGAGAATCTTCATAAGATTTTTTAATCTAGCAGTCAATTGGAAAAATTCTCAGCTTGACTATCTATATATACTGATACCTGTGAACTAAGCAACTGCACTGCAGATGGTAAATTGTAATAGTAGTTTCTTGCTTGGAGTGCCTGTCATTCTGGTCTTCTGAATAGGGGTTGCTGGTCATGACATGCCAGTTGCGGCTGTGCTGTCTCTTTGGTAGATGATTGTTCAAAAAGAAGGGGTTGGTGAATGAAGGCAAGAGACAGGAAAAGGAATATTGTGGGACTGTCCTGCTTCAAGGTTGTATATGGTTTGATTTTTAGACTTATGTGTAAACAGAAGGAGTATATTATTCTTTATGTCTATTTTTAAAATATATTCTAATTTTAAAATGTTTTTTATCATATTCTGTAGGGACTTAAAGTTCAACATATCAATACTTGTTGAAAAATACCTGTTCCATGTTATACCTAAGATGTTTGATATTCAGACAGATAGTGAGGTTTAGCTTAACAGCCTAAGTTGTATGGTAATAACAATAAGCTTGTCTTCTGGATGGTTAACAACCTCAGTTTGCAGACCAAAATGAGAGAAAAAAGAGGGCCGCAAGGAAAGCCAACATTTTGGCCCTAGCCTTTCAAGGTCAATTAAGACTCAGGACATATGAGAACTTGTACTGTAACATCATATAACTCTGTAGTATCCCAAATTTTCTGATTAAGTTGATTATGGGGTCAAAGAGGAAAGTGATGGATGATGTAGAATGTGCCTAAGGAGAGTCACGTGGAGAGAAAACATTAAGCCAGGCTTTCACAGAGAGCACATTGGCCAAGCAATGGCCGTGACTCATCCACATGGCTGACACTGACAAAAGTTCTACAATCTAAAGTACAGGATAGCAGGATAGTTTCTGAGGAGTTTTCACTGACCTTATGAGAACCAAAAGCTACAACTCTTGTTGCATAGGTCCTGCTTTACCTTGGTCTTAACCATCCAGTAGAAAAGTATGAAGATGTAATATAGGCAGTAAAGCCATGCTGTTATGTTGAGCTGTGGGGGACTCAGGTCAACAATTTCTGACATTGCCAGTTAAACAGAAGACCCAATGATATTATGCACTACTGGACTCTTTTAGAATATTTTGCTGAGTTTACACACCTATAATATTCAAATAACGGAACTTCACAAAAAAAGTGTATACAGATGAATGTCCATTTTGTATCTGTGTATTCAAAGTGGTTAGGATAGATATATAGTTACATTCTCTTAATGAATAGAAGTATTTGTTCTAATGGTGTTTATAGATAGGATATTATGTCCACTTCTTGTACAGCATTTAACCACTAGGAAGAGTGTATGCAATGTGTTAATTATTGTAACTATCCTACAAATTTGATTTGAAACTGTCTCTTTGCTATTTGTTTCTCAATAAAATTATGAAAAAATTTTCTTAATATTTACAATTGTTTAACTACAATAATAGTCTCCTTTAATTACCTCCATTCACACACACACATAACATTACATCTTTTAAAATAATAAACAAAATTAAGACCTCTAGGAGCATGTAATAAGAAAGTAGTTCCAAATTTTTACTTTGTAGATAGATCAAGCACTCCAAAAATACAAATTCCTACACACGATGAGTAAATGATTTCTTTTTTGTTTCATTTTTTTATGTACGTATTGTACGGTCTCACTATACAGCTTGGACTCCTAGTGATCCTTCTATTTTCAGCTTACTCAGTGCTGGGATTCCAGGTGTGTGCCACCATTCCCTGGAGCTGTCTCTGACTCAGTGTGCCCTGTGGGTGGGGCCTGTGTGACATGAGGGACCTGGGATTGAACATCCACTGAGCTTCCACCCTGGCCTGAATATATCATTTCAAACAAATCTTTCAGGATGTGGAGATGGTCCTAGGAAAAGCCAACAGAAAACTTTAGCTAGAGAGGCAAGAAATCACAGTGCCAAATGTATACACTGTAGATTTTATGCAGTGTTTTCTCAAAATCCTTTTTCTTAATAATGCAATCTGACTGTTCTCAATTGTTATGTTTATTGTAAATTGTTCAT